GAAAGTGAAAATTTTGCGCAAAAAACGCGTTTCTTGCGTTTTTTTTAATGAGCGTTACTGACTCACAATCGCGGCTCCCTTTTGAGCGTTTAAACGCGTTTTTCCAAATGTTTGTCTGCTTGGGAAACGACATTGTTTACAAAAGGAACGTTTTCGGATTCGAAAATTGCTTTCAAAAGTTTAAAGTTTTAAAAATGTCGAAGCTTTTTCATCACTCAAGTTCTGGACGCTGATATGTTATATTCTATATCATTTTTGCACTATAAGTGCCACACTAACTAGTTTTGGACAGTTTTAAACTACGGCTCTACTATAAGAAAACTATATTCCGATTGGGATATACAAAAATGCAGATAGTCCGATCGGGATATCGAACACAAATATATCCCGATTGAACTATAATATCTCGATTACGATACATTTTTATATCCTAATTTGGATATATAGCTCGACAAGGATATATATTCCGATTGGGATATGCTTCCTCACTGCTTTTCCCTAGATGTAAATGGGTTTCTTCTAGTTGATATATTTTTGATGTTTAGTAAAATCTTATGAAAGATATCTCTTTTTTCATGACTAGAACTCAAAATAGCTGGGCTTTAAAAATCCATCAGACTAAACTTAATTTTGATACTAACTCTTACCTGGTGTGTGATAATTAAATGATATCGAATTTACAAAATTCTAACTTTCAATCTAAATAAAAAGCTGGTAATGTGTTTTAAGCATATAAAAAAAAGAAAATCATTGTCTAATTTTTTTGAATAGAAAAAGAAATACAAAATACAAAAAATATTTTTTTGTATAGAATTTTAACATGAAATTAGTGTTTTACAACATTTTCAATGCATGAGCTGTAAAATGCATTTAATTAAGAATATTAACGTTTTAAAAACAAAAATAATTTTGAAAACTACCATGTTATTCAAAAGTTACTTTAATATTTGTTCCGTACAAAAAGAAGGTTCTTCCTTACGGAGTTTAGATAAAGAATAAAAAATTATGACTATGAACAAGTACAGTCATAAAACTTTTATTCTTTCGTAAACAGAAATACTAGAAGAAAAATAGCTAATAAAAAAAGCACACTTCGAATAACACATTGAGATCAAATATGATTAAAATGGAAAATACATTTTAACTAATTTGTTTTTACAGAAGTGAAGATGCCCCTCTCTACGATGTTGATCATAAGTTTTACATAGTCTGCTATGATCTTTACTTCGCAGATTCTATTATTGCTTAAAAGATCCATGCTGTTGTTCATATCGAAGAAAAAAACTGCTTATTTGAATGAAAAAATATTAATCTAACACCACAACATTGACTAAAGTCTTTGTGCCACTTTACAGCATACATATGAACTAATTGTTAAGGTTTATATGCGTTTAAATTCCAGAATAGTCTGAAATTGTTTTGATAGATTAGCAAATGTCTCTTATTCAGGCATATCAGAACTGTTATATGAACCAGCCAAATACATTGCTCAATTTTTTGTTGATACGTGTGATTAATTCTCTGCACTATGAATATTGAGACTATTTCAGAGTTATCGAATCACAATGCTGTCTTAAGTAAATTTTTTTTTGTTGAACTCTGAAGCTAAGTTGTTCCACTACCTAGGTGAAACTCATCTTACAAGATCATACAAGATCTGCCGTTTTCTTTTGAAATCTTGTAACAAGATCTTGTCTTAGGATGTTGTAAGATCCTGCGGAATCTTGTATCTTCTTGTCATAAGATCTTACGTGATCAGCTCATAAGACGTGACAAGATCTTACAAGATCTTGCCATTGAGAGACGTGACTTGTATTTATTTCTTATCGTAAGATCATACGATTTCTTGTTATAAGATCTTATATGATCTTGCAAGAATCGATGACTCATTCTTACTGTTATGTAGTGAATCCTTTTATTAAAAGTACTGTACAATGTGACTACATACCGTACACTGCGGAAAACAGTTAGCATTTATAGGTTATAGAGAGAGAGCAGAAGAGAAGAGAAAATCATACCATACAAATAATTTCACACAGTTAAACAATGTGGAGAATATCAAATCATATAAGAATGTTAAACAATGAGGAGAATATCACACCATAAAAGAATGTTTAAACAATGAATAGAATATCGATACATATCGAACCATACATGCGTACATGGTAAAGAAAATGAAAACTAAAACTGTTCTTCGGAGCGCCCTTTACATTACCACATAAATTTTGCTGTGATATTGAGTATATATATATACAGCATAGTTCTTATGATAAAACTTAGAATTTCTTTCTTGCTTCATCTTCACACATCAGCTGAGCGCAAATAAAGTGCATGGCTACGAGGAACGTGGTTAAATACGATCCTAAGGACGTCTGTGTCCTACCAATATGCCAGAAAATTTGATGAATAGAGAAAGATACTTTTTTAAGAAAGGTCTAGAGGAAATTTTTAGAACCCGATCAGGCACATAATCTTATAAGATCTGATGAATTCTTACGTGATCGTATGAGATCTTGTCACTTCTTGCAAGATCATATGATATCTAATACGATCTTATAAGATCTTACAAATCTTGTAAGATCATTTTTTCTTAAAAAATCTTATAGGATTCTTTTACAAAGATATCATACAAAATCATCCATCGACATGAAACCAGTGGATTATTGTCGTTTCAACGCTGTTAGTGATTAATTTCACTTCATATATATAAAATTTGATTTTCACAATTGCTATAAATCACATCTACTCTCATCTTTTTGAAACTCAATGCTAATAGTGTTGTAGAAAATTTTATGGACCATCTCATGTTAAGTAATAAAGTTATATAAAACAACCCTTATTCAAGTGGTCTGATAGAATGAAAGATGAATTGTCTCAAAATTTTTGAATTTCTTACTAAAATATGTTTATAGAACATTCTGAGATACCTTTTGAAGTATTATCATTCTTCTAGATATTCTTGAATGTCACACCCATCTCGATGAGCTCTATCTAGATTACCTAATAGACAATTTCATTCTTCAAATTCAGGGACTGTTCGTGAAGTATAAAAATACTAGAATGTCCTTTGAGAAGACAAATTGAGTTCACAGCGTTATGTACATAACAAGGATTAATAGAAAAAGATGAGGCTGACCGCGCATATCGACATCTATCGATCTGTAGAAAGGAATGAAGGATGTAATTTTGATTCAATGGCCACAGAAAAACTGCTTGCTATTGCTGCAAATATTGAAACGTAAATTTCAAAAATCTTTTTGAGAAAAAAGGGTCTAAGACACACTAGTGTAGGATTAGAAGTCAGATCTAAGCTCATTGGTAATGTACTGTTTAATTCTTATTGAGCTTATTTCTTTCTCATAAGAAAGATAATTGGCAGAATTTTTATATGAATTTACATCGAAAGTTAACCCTAGCGTATCTCGAACAAGTCTTAGATAACAAACAGCGGAACTCACTTCATATCAATTTTTTTTACATGTTGTTTAAGGTTTTTTTGAATTGAGATTCTCATTGTATAGTGGTACGATCAACTTCATAAGTATTAGCATACTATACAATAAAAACGACCTTTGCTATTGCTCTTTCATAATGTTTATACTTTTAGAGTGATATTTAGCTATGGGTTCAAACACGAAAAAGCATAAAAGTTCAAAAGAACGTAAGTTAGTTATGTCAATGCTACTGAAAGTAACTAAGACATCATTCTTCTTTCCCTCTTGATGTAGATAAACATCGTCAGCGCGAAAATATCGAACGTAAAGCAGCTCGAGAAGATGCACAGTCGCCACCATCAGCTCAAGATTCTTCTGCGGCTGTTGGTGATACAGAGCGAACTTCGCTGTCTGTCAGTGAAACGAAGTAAGTTAAAATAAAATTCAAAAAAAGAACGAAATATTTATTAACTTCTACCTTTAGTAAACTTCGTGCTCAATTGGGCATGAAACCGTTGGCTGGTGTTAGTGAAAAAGTATCGGAACAAGATGGTGAAACTGTAATAGACAATGGCGAAGATGTATTTACACACCGCCCAGCAGTTAGTCTGACGGAAAAGAAGCGTAGTGAGCAAATAAAAAATAAAGTATTGTTGCATAAAGAAAAAAGACAACTACAAGAAAAATTTTTGTAAGTAACTTGTTTTATATATTCAAAGTAGATTCGTTAGTTTCATTTCTAAGATTTTTTCAGAAGTACAAAATCTTTGGGTACAGCTGACAGTAATGAATCAACATCAGCTTGGATTGAAAAACAGCGTCTAGCCGATATTGAAAAACGTAAAGCCGCCGAAAGAGTAAGTAGGCATATTAACTGGCATTTAATTCGTTTTTCAAATCTGTCTGTACTCTACTGTAGGCAAAATTATTGCAACAAATGGATGAAGAATTTGGTCTTGAAGAATTAGTTAAAGAAGAAACAGAAAAGTTGATAAAATCAAAGGAGAAAGTAAATATAGTTTTCTCACTTGTGACTGAGACAGGTAAAATTGATCTATTAGATGGAGTTTGTTCGACACCATTTTAGTTTGGAAGCCATTTGATTTCTTGACAGCTTATTATTATATTCGGACGACACTTACACGCGTGACGTTGTTGAAATTGAGAGAAGGTAATGAGATCATATTCTAACATTCTCAACAACTTTTAATGTCTTGTGCTAGTGTTTCATAGACCTTGTACAAGCACGTATTAAAGTTGTATGACAAGTTAAGAGAGATTTGTGTACATCATTCAACATAATTATATCATAAACAGGGCCACAGTAGCATATGTGCACTTGAGCTGTTAAATTAGATGGCTATCAAACTAAAGCGAGTGATGTTCTGGAAGTTAGTCTAATAGAGAGATAGTTCAAGTAATTTCATTCTAATTCTTAATTAAAACAATCTTAAATTCAGTCTAATTATTCAATTATATATATTTCTCAAAAAATTATGGATCTTCTATATTCCTTCCACAACTGATTTTTGAGCTCTTTTTTTACAGATGTATTTATTTGATCTACTTTGTTTCTTTTAGAAGTATACAGCAAGAGATTTAACTGGACTTCGCATCGAACATTCTGCTGATACATTCAAAGAAGGCCAACAAATAATATTAACATTAAAAGATCAGCGTAGATATCTGTGCAATAGAAAACTCTTATTCACTTTCTAACATAATTTTTCAATTCATATTTATTAGGTATTCTTCGAGAGAAGAAACCTGGTGAACCTGATACATTGGAAGATGATGAAGATGTGTTAATCAATGTTAATATCGCTGATGATGAACGAACTACAGAAAAGATTGAAGGTAAAAAGAAGAAAACTGGACGTTATCGTGCATATAAAGATGAAGACAATGACGTCGACAAATTTGGACTGGTAAGGTGTGCTAAACAAAAACATGTCAGTGAAATCATGTACTCTCATTCGTTTTTAGCTTACTGAAGCTCGTTTACTTGATCAATATGATGATAAGAAGAAATCATCGTTCAAACTAGGTAAGTCGATTTGCCATGTCATGAAAAGTAAATGCAGTTTTTTATTTATCGAAATACTAAGGGTAACCAACAGAAACTAGATGGCTTATCTTATTTTTCAAGAAGAGCTAGAATAGATTACTTTATCGTTAAATGATATTATTATCTTTTTTAGAGTCTGGTGGCAAATACGATTTAAGTGATGAGAAAATTATGAGTGATATGAGAAAAGAGTTTCATTCGCGTATGCAAACATTAGAATTACCTGCAATGAAATTGGCTAGTGAATTTTATACGCAAGAGGAAATAGTATGTTTGATTTTGCATCATCATGTATTAAAAGACTGATTTGTGCATCTATTATTTTAGGAACAATTTAAAAAACCAAAAAAGGTAATTAAGAAAAAACTCCGTACGAGAAAAATATTAAAAGCTGATGATCTATTGGCAATGGATGTTGCAGCAGTTTCTGCTAGTCGACATCATCGTGACAACACTAGTGCCGCTGGACCAGTGACAACAGCAAAAGGAAATGCAACAAGACAAAAGTGAGAATAAATAATGACGTTTAGCTTCATGGTCTTAGTTCCTCAGTCAGCGGTTCCTTGAGGTTTGGAGCAACATTTTGTTGACAACATCTGTCTTTTATGTGTTACATTCATAAAAAATGTCAGAAAATCTTCTGATTGTGGAAAACAGTTTACTTGGGAGAGTTTTAGTAAACGTAATGGTCCTAAAGTTGTAACTTTTAGATGGCCTCGCTACTGTAAGCTCGTAGATTCTGTTCTATCATTTATGTAAATATGATTTATGTTTTACTTCCGATCTGTTCTTCTTTCTATTGAAGTCACCGTAAACTACTCTGCAGGTGCTGAATGAAAATTCTGTTAATTATACGTATTAGTTTTTCTTTATCTCTAGAGATCGAACAAATGGACTTGTTATTGATGAACTAAAACGGGAAGATGATGACGTGATGGCCTGTAAGATGATTTTTCTGTAAGATGTTCTTTACATTATAGATACATTATTAGTTTGTTCCTTTAGCTGACATTATTGGACCAGATGATGATGATAATTTATCAGATTTCGCATTAGAAGATGATGCATTTAAAGAGTTACAAGATGTTGTCAACAAAACGATGAAGTTAAAAACAAAAGTAACACATGTACACACTGCAGAGAAGGTATTGTTTCACTGAAAAGGACTGACAACATGTTTTCTAAGTTTTTTCTATTTCTTCACTAGGCATTGTCGAGTTTGATCGAAGAACGTGATCGTAAAATGAAAATGGAAATTAAAGAAGAACCAATGGAAGTATCAACAGTTGCAGTGCCCAATCAAGATAAACCGGAAGGACTTATTTTGGATACAATGTCAGAATTTTGTCGGAATTTGGGAGAAGATGCGGCTACTAGTGTTTCTTCAGCTATGGCAATGGGGGCGAATACATCGATTCCAGTCACAAAGTTTAATCGTCCATCAACAATTCGCTCTCGTATTCAACGGCCACAACGTGAAGCACTAGCTCTAGATCATGACGATGAATTGTTAGAATATGCGATGGCTGTAGAACAAGAAGATGATGACGACGAGGATAACAATAATCGTATGAATGGAGACGATGAAAATCCAGATGGAAGTGTCAAACCATTTCGAGTGTGTTTATAGATCGTTATTTCATCACCATAGCTATTTTAAACGTTCTCTTTTCTTGTTTAGCTCGAAGATTCAGTGTTAGATGAAGAACCTGGCCTTGATCGTGGTTTAGCAAATGCATTACGTCTAGTAGAACAAAAAGGTGCGTTCGTTATTCATTGAAACTGAAATTACGTATTAGCTGATTTTTATCAAATTTTAGGTTATTTGGAAAAAGACAAAGGACGACAAAATGCTCGTATGACGAGTGAAATATCGGCGAAACATTTCACTGTTGAAGAAAAAAATTATTAGTAAGTTAATACATACGTTACGAGAACCTCTGCCAGAACGCTTTTTTTTACACTGAAAATCAAACAAAGTATGTTATGATATTGGCAGTTCTTTAAAAAAATTCTAGCGCAAAATACCAAAACATCCAAGTTTTGGGCACAGACAAACTGAAGTCTTTATTTGGGTACCACTTCGAGCCCTAGATGTTATCTGTAATAAGATAGATGATTTAGTAGACGTCACATGTATCTATAAAAATCAAAATTTTTCTTCCAAATTCTCAGTTTAAAGTCAAAAACACAAAAAATGCAATTTATTGTTTGCAATGATTCGCTATTTTCTCTGTAATAAAATCATATGCCTAAAAAACCTGCGGTCTTTTTTGGGTATAAATCCGATTTTTTCAACTGATAGCATCGAGTCGATTGCGCAACGTCAATCGTTGTATAGAATATAGACACAGAACAGTGGATTTAGTTTTGCGGTTTACTGCAAAGCTAAGTTCATATGTTCGAATCTCTTTTCGTACAACGACTGAAGTTGTGTTTTTCGACAGTTTAAGTTTAGAATACTATAGTGGAATATTTTTCCGCTTGTATTCTGACAGAATAAAGCTTATTTGTTTATTTTGAGACGTTATTTATAAGCGGTAGTGAGACTCGGAGAATGTCTTCTGTATGAGGCGTCGTTAGAGGTGTAAGCCGATTGGCTGTTGGAGGATTTTCAGGTCGCCGCCAGATCACAAAATATTTTTCGGGTTCTCCAGCCACTAGTCAATCTATTTTTTACTCTTTCTTTGAAAGAGATTTCTATCTGGTTTTTTATTGGCTGGTATTTTTCTATGAGAAATGTGAGGCAAAGTTCACGTTACACGTTGATATGTGCAGCTCAATGCTTTCAGTTTAAAGAAAAGGGGGATTTTTGTGATATACCTCCTTTAAGTTGTCAAATAAAGATGTTACTGTACATTGACTGTGCTTTAGTGATATCGACGATAAATATGCACGACGTGATCGATATTCTGGTCCGTTGACAGATTTCAAAGAAAAGGAAGCCTACAGACCAGAAGTGAAATTAGAATATGTTGATGATACTGGACGACGAATGAATAGAAAAGAAGCATTTCGATATTTATCACATCGATTTCATGGAAAAGGATCGGGTAAAAAGAAGACAGAAAAGCGAACGAAAAAATTAATAGAAGAAGAGGTAAGTTACATGAATGATGTTTGTATACTAACTGAGTCATTGTAATTATTGTTTCATATTTAGTTAATGAAAAAAATGAGTAGTGTTGATACACCGTTAAATACAGTTGCTCTATTACAACAAAAACAAGCTCAACTACAACAACCTTATATTACTCTGAGTACGACAAGAATGAGAGAACAGGGACCACAGTATGTATATATATATATATATCGTATTACTTTTTTTGATAACATCAACGTATATTTTTCTCTCTTTATAGGACCATTACAAAATCTTGATCGGATTTTTATTTATTTTAATGGTTTACCTCTTTATTTACCTTATTTTCGCAGACGTTTAATTTTTTTCAGTTGAGAAATATAACTGATTTTGCTATTCTTTCTTTTTCTCTTTGTATGTTGTTGTTGTTGTCTTTACATGTGTACATATGTGATGTTATACATAAAGTTTTGAGTAACCTAACAAAAGTGTTTAGTGTAAAAATGTATGGATGATATATTGATATCAAATACTGCGTTAATATACATGGTAAACTTGTTTTTTCGTGTTATTCGTCATACTTTGCTTCAGCCATCCGGGGAACATTCAAACACACCATCGTCAAACTTAACTTCTTTACCTATTCTAATGGAAGTTTTAGTCATTCTTCCATTTTTAATAAACTATGGTTTTATTAAAACTTTTTCACATTCCATATCAATTAGACAATGAGTCTAAACTAGGTTTATGTTCATGAATAAGAAATGAAAATCATACAGACTATTGTAGATTCTTGTTTTCGATTTTCGATCACTTCTACATTTAATGACTGATACCATTGTTACGAATACTGTCAATGCCAACGACGATATTTCTCATATAGAAAACGAACAAGCCACACTCGATCACAATTTAACATCTGTCACAATAACTGAGAATGAAAAAGATGATGAATGGAAATCGATGGATGGTAATGACGACGACGAAGCAGAGGAGGAAACCAAAGAAATAAAAAATGAAAACTATTTTCCTGATGAAGATGACAAACATTCAAGTGATTGGGCTAATTTTGCATCGTTCAAAAATGATGATAAGGATATTCATCAAGAAAATAATATAAATTTGTCTGAAACAACAGTCACCAAAGAAGAAAACGATGATGAATGGGCAGATTTTGAGTATAATACAACACCAAGTCAGCCAACCATCGTTGATTCTACACTAACGAAAAATAATGAGGAAGACGTTGAATTTGGCGACTTCAATGAAGGACACATATCAGCAGAATCAAACTCATTTGTAGAGGAAGAAACAAAACCTCTTCCATCATCTATTGTAAGTTGAACAGTTGATAGAACAAGATTTTTCTTTCGCTTTGGTACATTCTAACATACTGTATGTGTCAAAATTATCCATTCATCTTTATTTTTGATTTATTTTTGTCGGTCGCAATAGTTAAACAACTCCGAATTGTGATTTGTGTAGCTAAAACAAAATTCGACCAGATGAAGAACGTATGAAAAGGTCATGGTTTTTTTAAAAAAAAACGGGTTTCTAGAAAAAAAAAACTTTTTTTCTCACGTCTTCGAATCCTAGCTTGATACTCTTTGAAAATAGTTCCGTTAGATAGAGCAAATAGTTCTGTACAAAATGAAATACATCCGACCTCTCTACGACAGTTTTTCATCAAACTGCCTAAAATCTACGAAACAGGCGTGCACCGAGCTTTTCTCTATTTTTTTTCACACTTTTGCAAACTTCTATGTGGGACAGAAAAATAAAAGATGGAAGAATTTTTAAGAAAACAGATAAGATCCCGTATCCTCGGGCTCGGTGCATGCCTATTAAGAAAGATTCTGCAAGTATTTTTTTGTTGTTTTTCTCTCGATTTTGCTGGTTTCGGTGATTGAAAGCCTTCTAAAGCACTATGTTCTATTATAACGGAACTATTCTCAAAAAGCATCAAGCTCGAAAACGTGAGAAGAAAGAGTTTTTGTTTTCTAGAAACCCGTTTTTTTTAAAAAAACATGAAGTTTACATACGTTCCTTATCTGATAGAATTTTCTTTCAGCTGCACAAATCATAATTCGGAGTTATTTTAGCTATTCCGACTGATGCAAAAAAAGTCAAAAATAGATATGAATGGATAATTTTGGCACACGCTGTAGGAGTCGACATTGTTTGTCTTCCTTATATTATGGAAGGAATTGTACGAAAACTATAGCTTTGTATGACTTTTTTCTATTATAGCATGATGTATCTGGCAGCATCGATCATATTGAATCAATAATTCAAACTTGTTTCTCATATTCATCATCGCCACTGTCTACCATTGAATTTTGTGAATATTCTGAATTACCAACATTTACAAATAATAATAATAATACAACTTTGTCTTCTTGTTTGAAACCCTGTTTAAAGTAAGGTTAATTTGCTTTAATTAAGTGCCCTCTAATGATTATATTATTTTAGCGTATGGAATGTATTATCTAATATTTCAAATGATCCGTACGGATTAAAATTTCAATGGAGAAAATCGAATAGTGAACGTTTTTTTCATCAAGCCCTTGGTGTCAATGAAAGATATCGAGTAAGAATGATCTGATCTATTGATAAGTAATCAAATAAATAATATATTTTTTTTCTCTAGACTAAAACGACACCATTAATGCCTGAGATACTACAACCAGAAAAGATCAAGTCAACGATGTCAAATAATAGTGCTCAGGATGAATTAGAAAATAAAAATAAAGTAAATGTGAAATATAACTATATGATGAATGAAACTGACATTTTAATCGTTTTAGCCATCCTCTTCTCTCAATCCACACTTTGATTGGAAAGCAAGCGGTTTAGAAAATCCACTTGCAGGTAAATTATACCAGACAAATAGCGTTGTTGTTAGGATAGGTGTATATTGTGCTATAAGCGTGTATGTGTACAGATTTAGATAATTCAAAATCTTCTCCCTCTCCTATCATTAGCCAGACAGTTAGTTTGCCGTCTAACAGTATAAGTAAAACTAATGAAGATGAAGGCAATGAAACATATGGTATGTATTTTGCATTTGTGTGATGCTGACGATAACGAGTAACACTAATCAACAGTCAACAACTAATAAACAAACACGTCCTTGCTTCTCAAGATTATTTTTTTGCATGTAATTCTTGCTCAACTTGCATCCTTCTAATTTCGAATATATTAAAAATGACTTAACTAATTTGGTTAGGCTTGACTTTAACTAACAAATGATTATTTTGCATGCTGTGTTACTTTACTTATTTAGATAGATGATTGATCCTTTTCTAGTTCCTTACCCAGAAGACGCGTTACAACTCTTAATAGATAGAAGTAGAGCATGCATTTTTTTCGAAGATAAATCTTTATACAAAATCTTACATTTTAAGTGCACTGAATTAAATCTAGTGATTATCATCTACTTTTATTTTTAGTGTTTGATGCCAATAAAACATTAGATCTCGATTATTTTCATCCATCCAAACCGTCTGATTTAACATCTTCATCAAGCGTGAAAATATCATCAATATCATTACCAACGTCATCACAGATCAATGGTGAACATTCTTCGTCAACTAAAACTAGTGTTCCTCCCATAAAAACAACTGGACTTTTTCCAGGATCATCTTCATCTTCAATAACAACAATAAACAATGATGAAGCAAAACGTATTTTAGATTCATTACCAAATCTAAGTTTTATGAGTGCAAAAAATTTAATGTTTTCCGTTCGATTAAATGGTGGAAATGATGAAACAACATCATTGTACTAAGATCTGATTTTGTTTTGTTTTTTCATTTTCTCAATATACAGTGACGATACTTTAAATGAGATTTTTTCTTAACAGTTTAAAATACTTAATCGGAACTTTTTGCCCTACTTTTCCATAAATTCTTTTCACTTTCACTGATCGTCCGACTCGTTTTATTTCAGTTTTTTTTGTTGTTTTTTGTAAATTATTAGTAATTAAAAGGATGCATTCTTCATTTTTGTTTTTTCTTTCAATATGCTTAAATATTTTTTTCCACGTACAATGTTGTGTGAGCTTTGTCTTTATAAAGAAGCATTTCTTTAATGTCATCATAGTATCTTTTTTTCGTTATCATTCCATATAGAAAAACGATTGAATAGTTATTAAAACTCTAACCAACAGTGATGAAAGAGTGATAGATCTGTCTGCTAATATTTCGTAATAGTCTCGTGCCCGTAAATAATTTAAAATCTTTATTAATAGTGGTTGTATAGCGTGTGTGTATTGCTTGTCATCGTTTTTTCTCAATTGTTTTATTTAATGAAAAAAAATTAGTTAAAAAAGATTAGTTTTTCTGTATTTTAACGAAATATTGTTGGATGATGTTATCTAAAAACACTAACAATTTATATGCATTTTTGTTTTCTTAGATTTTTTATTTCAGTTCAAAAACAGATCTTCTTTTTTTTTGATCCTTCGCTTATTTTTTCTAATATACAGATACATAACACATCTATTTTTGTTGTTTCTTATTAGTGTTCATTGTTGGACATGGTTACTTTTTTTTCCACAAAAAAAAGTTTAAATTAGTTAGATATATTATTTCATCTATTTAGAATGGGAAAGTTTTTGTACTAGACTTTATTTTCATTGAACGTTCACTATTTTCATCGATAATAACAAGGAAATATTTGCCGTTTAAACACGGTAAAATCTTTTAAATCCAGTTTTATCTAAACTTTTTTCAATTTTATGTCCGATGAATGGGCTCGATTTTGTTTAATTAGTAGTGATATGATAAATTGAGATATGAATGGGAATGTGGGAATGTAACGTTTTAACAGCTCGGTTTAATAGTCCCCTTGAGTTATATTTATATAAAACATTATATACATTTTAAGTAACTCAGGTTTTTTGAACGTATGTATCACATCAATTTATATCTTTTCATCTGAAATTTATTATTAGAGACGGATGTATAGCGCATTGTTCAGCTCCATCTTTCTTTTTGAACTTCATTCATAGAGAACAGATACGTGAACGCTAAATGAACACAACAGAAAAAAAAGTCGATGAATATTGATTTTGTTGGCAGATAAATCATATTTATCCGCTTGGTACACCTTGGTTATTGTGACATTTTCTATTTTATACGATTGTACTTTATGTCATGCATGATGAAGTGACACATCCTGTACCACTTATTTATAGCTAATGAAAGCATAAAGTTTCTAAAACTTTTTTCTCCAAACTTTGGTTACGCAATCGAATGATTATTATTGATAATTTTCTGTTTCTAACTGGGTATAGGCAGTTGAAATAAACAATTCACGACGCTTGGTACATCAAAGATTGGATATGCAAACCGTGACAAGTAGATGGCTTTTGTGAGTTAATGGTTGTGTATGATTTAGAAATGCGATACCGACAGAATCTTGCCCCATCAAGACTACAATATCCTCAACGTATTTTAGTAGTGTTAGACCCGCTTTGCAGTTCGACCTATTTGCCAAGATGAAGACTCCATATCTTTTGCTTATTGCTAATTTTCATGAGATATTTCCGTCCATTGTATATTTGAAAGAGAACATCTATTGTACAGTGGCCCTTCATTATGCTTACTATTCATGTTTTATTTAGAATACAGAGAAAAAGTATGCTTTAGTTATTTGTACATATTGGATTGGTATCAGTAAAGTGCACACAATACAAAGTTAAAGCAAAATTTTATTTTTGAACTTATTATACATCATTGGATAGAGAGAGAATTTCGAGCTGATTAAGAAAATAGATTTTTGAATTTTTAAAAAAAGTTTTTTGAGAAAGAAAAATTGAAAATATTTGAAAGACCTAAAAAGTCAAAAAATCTTTCAAGTTCAAAAAAGCTCAATATCTGAGTTCCAGACAACTATACAAATTTCAAAATATTTTTTTCTTATGGAGCATTGAAAATTGAATAGAAAAATGGCGTTCGATCAATTTCGAAGTTAAAAGCTTTTAGCATGGACCTTCCAAACACACTCTCTACAGTGTGGACAAGGGATTTTTGAAGCGTATCTAATTTTTCGTGTTAGGGACTGAAGCCGTCATTTGCACGTCATTAGATTCGCCGAAAGCTTGGCTTCAAAAGGATGGCTCGCTATTTTAAAATTTTGCTTCGTTGCTGAGAAAAGTCATTTTTTCTAAATCAGAGGCGAAAAAGTCGGGATTCTGGCAGTAATTCTCAATCTTCTCCATCAGAATTCAACTTTTAAGCAATAGAAATATCATATTAGGAATCAGGATCAAAAACTGAGTCGACTAATCTGTATTTTGACATTTTTAGCTGATTTTCAGTTTTGGGTGAAAAATTCGAAAAAAATTGAAGTAGTCGGAGTATACATCATTCGACTCAGTTTTTGATCCTGATTCCAAATATAATATTTTTATTGCTTAAAAGTTTACTTCTAATAGAGAAAATTGAGAATTACTGAATTCTAAGAATTGAGCTTTTCTTGAACTTAGTATTTCCAATTTTTCACTCTCAAAAATTAAAAAATACATTTTCTTAATCAGCTCGAAGTGCTCTATCCAATCATATATAATAAGTTCAAAAATAAAATTTTGCTTTAATTTTGCATTATGCGCACCTCATATGTAAAATAAATTTAAAAAAAACAGGATGATTTGGACATTTTAAACTCGACTTGTTTGAACTAAATAAATTTTGTTTTATTTAGTAAAAATGGTCAAATCAATTGAGCTTGCACAGATCTCCGATCATTTTTGTTATTTACTACATCGTTCACAATATACCATCAATGGCATATGTCGACCAAATGTGCCATCCATGTATTAGATATAAATTCAATTGTTCAATTATTTCTGAACAGTAGCCATTGTTAATAATTCAAGATAGGCTGTTTTTGCTTAAAACTTATTCCCGATCACTATTATCCACGATATGCAGTAGACTGTGCATATCTTAAAAACAATGCGTTCATAAGAGACCAAGTTTTTTTGTCGCTTTCCTTTTGAATAATTATCTTCAAAAGAAATAAGCGTAATACTTACATCCCACAAAGTAAATAAAGTTCCAGGAAATGGTAAGACTAATTCCACATTTGAGCCTTTGAAAAGAATGAATGTGTTACTTTTACTGCACTCATTGTTACTATCTTTTTTACATTTCGTTTAAGTTCACTTTAAGTTCACCCAGGTGTGACAAGTCATGACATTAAAAGTTTGAATTCTCCGTTTCAGAGGATGCATTCACATTGTATAATTACAATAGAAATACAGTAGAAAATCCATTATTCATTTTTATTGAAGATTTTTCTGAAAGAGCAACTTCAATACGAACATATTTAAGATGTGAAGACTATAGATGTTAGTATTTTGTAGAGCATATCAAATTATCTATTGAAGCTCATCAAATAAGTATGACAAATGCTATAAGATTTTTCGTATCAAGATAGGACTGTAGAAGAGCGCCTGTAAGCTTTGTTCATCAGAATTAATAAAATTCTTACTTTATCAAGGAACCGTCGATTATTCAAATAAATATATGAGCACAGGTTATGTCATACGCTCTACAAAATACAAGGAGGAAACAGGTAATTTAAATCAGTCGGTGATTTCCAGTAATTTCCGGTGCCTTTTCATTTGGTGAAAATCGATAAAAATCGGAAAAATCCAAAAATCACCTGTTTTTCCCTTGACAAAATAGTAGGAAACTTACGGAACGCAGTTAATAATCTGTTCAAGAATCAGCAAATATCATATTCATAATTAGCGCCATTTATCACATAAAGTACCGTGTGACAAGATACGTGAGAAAGATACGTACCGTGTCTTTCATGCACTAAGCGACTTGATATTTAAAGACATTCTCTCGTTCACTCTAAGGAAAATATCAATCGAAAAAACTTGAACTATTCAGGACATGTTTTAAATTATGCGGATTGAATATTTGAACACATTAATAATTTTGAGCATGTTTTAATACAGCTTTACGCTTCCTTCGAACTATCTGAACGTGAAATACTGAAAAAAGTATCCGTGTCTTTAACTGCTTACGCCTTGATTATTTTCCTCTATCTATCGATCTATTATATCTATTTTGGATAAGAAGTTATTGAAAAGCCTCGTAATCTCGAGATAGGAGGAGAAACGGTTTCTGTAAGAAAATGGCCTAATATGATTTTGATATATAATATGATAGAACAATTATCGAAATACTAGACAGATATTATCATTTTCACCTGTCCTAACACTGTAAAAGAACGCTTCTGTAACACATGACGCATGTGTGACTTCTCTTTGAACTTAATTGTAGTTCACAGAGGTAAAATAGTTTTAAGAAGGTTCTGAGTAGATGCATTGAAGAAGCATTCTTTGAAAGTGTTAGGATAGGTGGAAACGATGATATCTGTCTGGTATTTCGATAATTGTTCTATATGAGCATATTTTGAAAAGCTTATTTATGGCTAGCTTATTTTGAAGCGCGAAAAATTCTCTATCTTTAAGGCGGCTGAGTGAAAATCAAGGAGACTTATTCTACATATGAATTCTGGTCAAGGACTTTTAGATTGTACCAAAACTTTAAGGAAGAAAGTGAATGACAATTGTTAAAACGGTGACGAAAAATGATAGGAAATTTTTTTTGAGAAGACTACGAGCATTTTTTGAAAGCCAGAGGCGTTGGGAAGTGAAAAATAAAGTATTTCCAACCATTTTTGCTCAAAATCATATTGGGCCATTTTCTTACAGAAACTGTTTCTCCTTCTTTATAGAAACGAAAAATAAAGAGGTTTGTTGCACGACCGAACGTGTCTGCTTGCCAGTGCATACCTTAAACTCTCCACTGTTTTACATAACAGATACTGTTGAGACGGAAAAACAAGACGATTTGGACGAGTGTGTAGTACTTCCAAGCCAATTCTAAATATTCTCAATTTGTCAGACTTTATCTCAAACTTTTCAGATGCCAGATATAACAAAATCCTATTGGACTCTCGCCTTGGGAGTACTTGGCATTAGTTTTGTTGGTTATTGTGTTTATTTTGATCATAAACGACGTAGTGCACCGGAATTTCGTGAAAAATTAAAAGCAAGTAAGTGAAAATCGTATATAGTGGAATGTAATGACTATTGGCACAGACATGTATTCATTTTAGAGAGACGAAAACAAAAACAAAAATCTTCGCAACATCAGGATGAATCATCTGTATGTTATTTATTTTGATATTAGTGAAAAATCTTATTAAATTAAATCATTCATTTTAGATCGATGTGACAAATCCTGAAGAAATGAAACAATTTTTTCTTGAACAAATTGAAAAGGGAGAAGATTGTTTATCACGCGGCGATCTAGATGCCGGTGTTGAACATTTAGCCAAAGCTGTGGCCGTTTGTAGTCAACCTCAAAGTCTTATTGCATTATTTCAACAAACATTACCACCAGAATTATTTCAAGAGATAATAATGCGTTTACCGCGAGCCGCTCAAGTATGTAAAGAATAGCATCATTGCATATGTATGAAGACCTTTTCTCTCTTTTGTTCTAGACAATTCATCATAACACGTCAAATTCATCGATGCGAAATGCTGCAACAGCTTTCAATGAACCAGAACTTGAATAGATAAAATGTCTGTATGAACAATGATTATCCTTATTTTGTTTATCCATTTCAAAAGTCTGTTATTTCCGTTTATTTTCAATCCAAATCCCTTGCTTTCTTGAACCATTTGTTTGTTTGGTTTTTTTCTGTATTAGACAAAATGTTTTGGTTTGTTCTATTTTTTTTTCTTGTTGGTTTTTCACTGTTGATTTGTCAGTATTAGAATTGATTGGTTTGTTTGTTAAAAAAAATAGAACAGACAACGAACAAGCCATGCAGGGCTAGATTTTTTGTCGAAAAAAGACGATTACATTATACAAGACGCGATTAGATTTTAATTGGCGTTGTTTTTTAATGCATGCCTGATGGTTTTCACAGAACTTAACCAAATCTTCTTTGGTATGACCTACTTCATCCTCTTTCAAGTTTGCGTCAAACCATGTGCTATTGCATTTGTTATGGATATCATCGAAGTTGTTTCTCATCTTACTGTTGAAGAAATGGTCCACTATTAGGTCGCGTTTAATGCTTAAGACAGTAATCACATGACTACACAATATTAACAATTGCGACAAACATCTATTTGATGTACGAACATTAAAACTTGCGACATATTTGTGCCATACTGACAATTGCATCATCACAGTCGTATTTCAATTTCAATTTTTACTCATTGTCAAGTATTTCAAAGGCTATCATTTAAGTGGTCAGTAAAATAGATGAAATAGTCAGTAGATAAAATAATTATAAAATCAGTAAATTAAATGATTGATCAGTACAATAAATGAGTGATTAGTAAGGTACTTAAATGGTCAGTTATTAATTAATTAGATTTGTTAATAAATTTAAAAATCAATAAATAAAATTTATTAACAGTCGATTATATTAAAGGGTAGGTATAGAAATTGAAATGTATTAGTGTAATTCACTTTTTTTTCTTCTTTCTTTATTTTCTTCTACCAATTTGTATTTTTTTAATGCTAATTATATATAATAAACTGACCATTTTACAATTAATTACTGATCATTTTAGTGCTGACCATTCAATATTTATATTGATCATTTATATATTTTTTTACTGATCATTTCATCTATTTTACTGACCAGATATTATGTTCCTCCTATCTCAAACTCTAAGTTCTTGTAAAAATCGAATTTTTATTTATTATTCATCAGTTTGAGGAAAAGTTATTTGTTATGAACACTATTTTGAAACCATTACGTAGTTGTTTGTAAAACAAGATTTTAGCATTCTCGACGGATGCGCAAACTTGAGAAGTATCCAATCTGTTAGATTTTAGAGTATAAAACTTTCAGTAAATTGGTGAAATCCGCGGTCTATAGACATCTCGAACATCCGACACATAAACGATCAGCAAAGAAATTCGATCCAAATTCAGAACTCACTCAATATATACATGAAAACAAACACACGATAGACTTTGATAATGTCGAAACTGACAAATGGAAGTAACTGACGACGATAAGTCATTAAAAGAAAGTATATTCGCTCGTGAGAATTTTGGTAGTTCTTACAATGATATTCAACAGTATCTACGCATTTCGGTTAAATTAACACGCACCTACTCGTCAATGACACAGCGTTTTGTTCGATGAACAAAATGAAGAACGACACACAAAGTGCTTTCATGAATGACCAATGACACAATTTATTAGTTTCATTTTCATTTTCATTTTATTTTCATTAGTGGAAAAAATAATCTGTATAAAAAAAGTTTAGTTGTTAATTTGCACAATTACTAATATATGATATTTGTTTGAACTCGCTAGTTTGTTGTACTCTCTTCAAATTAATATTTAAAACACTTAATGAAACATTCTATTTGAGATCAAAGTCTAAGTTCAAAAGAAAACCGACAAAAAATGTAATTATATTTTATGGGGTAATTATAACTAGTCAACGTACTCCGCTGGTATAAATATAAATATCACAACCAAAACGTCTGGGACGATGTAAATCGATCCAACGGTGAACTTTTACCTTTTCAATTAAAAATTAGTCCATCTTATAGAGAATTTCGAGCATTCTCCAACCTCATGAATTTCCAGTCAATTACCTTTACCCTTAATTACATAATAAGAAATTAGTGAAATCAAAAGACAACTCATTTTTTTCGATATACACGAACTGGAGTAATTATAACCATTTAAGAGTAACGTACTGGAAATTGAATGGCACTAATTAACGATAATGAATTTTTAAATAATTTTTACATCAGTGCATAGCTGAAAGTCATATGTATCTATCTGTGTAGTCACCATTTTTCTCCGCCCAATCATGGCTTAACCCTTCGTAAAATACTGAGAAAAAGTTTGTGCCTGGTTATAATTACCCCAGTGTACTCTATATTTTGATTCTCTCTTATTTCGATTCTAATTACGACTACATCTCTTTTCTTATGATGCTGATGTGTTTAGAACAAACATCTTTAAGAATAAACGATAGAATTGAACATGAACTATATCTAATGGACATAATGGTTGATACAAATGATTTTTACTTATTTTACTTTTTGATGCTAAACGAGAAATGTCTAATATCTAAGCTTTGGATTGAAACAAACAAAATCTGTTTGCATCGCTTCAGGTGCACATATTAATAAACAAGTATATTTCAGCTTGGGAAAAAATTTGGTCAAATCAGATTTGATTAAGTTTCTACTGCATCTAATATATATTCTAGATAGTATTTTTGAATCTTTTCCTTACGACTATTATATTATCATTCGAAAGTTCTTTTTCTTCGCTATATTTCTATATATCGCATATACGGAAATAGCAGTTCTGAGGCCAAGTATGTTTAGAAATACTTCTGGCTATAGAAAATGATCTCCAACGTGCAAAACGTCTCAGATATTCTATGTCAATATTTCTCAACCGCTAAAAATATTGCAACCGACAGAGGTTTCTTTAATTCCAATAGTACGATTAGTATCTGTATATCAGAATATTTCTCATTCGCCCGCTACAATAAATATACCATTCGATAGAGAATTTGTCGAGCTACAATTTGATATATATATAATATAGAGAAAAAAGTGTCTTAGGGCACCTTGACATTAGAAATGTTTCTGCAAAGACAGAATTTTGTTCGTGATTCTAAATTTTCTCCATCAGAACTCCACTTTTATGCAATAAAAATATCATATTCGGAATCAGGATCAAAAGCTGAGTCGGCCAATATGTATTTGCATCCTATCCGGCTTAGCTTTTGTCGAATTTTCACGTTGAAAAATTATCGAGATTTTCAACAAAAATAGAAAATTTTGAAATACAGATTGGTCGAATATTTAGAATCACGAACA